CAAAGGACTATTAGTTTCGTTTTGGCATTTTGCGTCGGACTTCACTTTCTGCGTTGGTTTACTTTTCAAACTGTTGCCACCAAATGTTAGAGTCCATGTATTATAATTGAGAGAAACTTAAATAATGAAGAATCTGCATAAACACATAAGTATATCTCGCACTGTGATAAGAACAACGGTACCTAGAGTCATCGATTTTTGAATAACGTAGTCCTTCCAACCGAATATGAGGCCATGTGGAAGACTCGAATTCTGAAATTTGAAAATTTGTTTTATTATCGATTTCAAATTCTGTTAAAACTTTGAACGAATTTTGAATTAACTAATTCAAGGATTTCAAAGCGAGCAATGGCAACGTTGTATAGAAAAAACATTTTATCTCCAGCGCGTGAGTCTCTGTATCGGAAATTTTAAAGATATGCTCGTTTTAAAACTATCTTGCGATATTGCTGTTGCACTGGATCTTATGGTTTAAGTGCGAGGACATGATATTTAATAAAGAAAGGTAACACACAAAATGTTAAAAACGCCCCTTTGGACGTAATTTAAATCTGAAACATTTCAGATTTTTTTTATTTTTTTTTTTATTATTTTTATTTATTTATTTATTATTTATTGTGTGTGTGTGTGTGTATGTACAGCGCAAAGATAGTTTGCTCTCACTTTAAACATATGAATGTGGCTAAAAACAGACAAATCATCAGCACCATTTAAAATGTCCAAAGACTTAAGAGATAAAAAATCCATTACATCTGAGGATGGCTAAACAGACCAATGCTCTTAATTTTCAAAAATAAAAGAGAGTAATTTTTTTGAAGACACATGGATAAAACTAGTTTAGAATTTCAAGTTTTCTGTTATTGAAAATTTAAAAAAAAAAAAAAAAAAAAAAAAAAAAAATTGGTTTGACATGAATACTTTGCAAATACTGCCCTTCAGGAAAATCTAATATTTTATACAAATTTAATTAATATAAATATTAAAACTATTTACATAAGAAATATAATCCCATAATTATAACAGAAATTAGAAAATAACATGAAAACATTTGGAAATCCTGAATTTATTTAATAAACATGGAAAAATTTCATATTAGTGAAATCACAGAAAATCCCCCAAAATTTTTCACTGAAACTCATGCCGTGATTAAATTAATACTCTAATTAGCAGTAGATATGGAGATGAATTATTATGATAAAGTGTATGACACCTATATGCTTTGGGAAAAAGTAGTTTCTACGAAAGATCATCTCACATTTACAAAGCACACAGAGAAAAACACAAAAATGAAACTCGTGCAATTACTGCATTCCAACTTAGGAATTGTATCCCAGATGCAAATATCAGTGCTCCAGGTCTTATCCATATTGGTTATGATAGGTGAAACATTGGTGGTATCTATGTGGGCCAGTGCTAGGATTTTTTATGCTAACTTACAAATTAAAAAAAAAAAAAAAACTTTTCAGTAATTGCTAATTTTCCCTTTTCTTTTACATTATAAGAGATTTAAGAGAAAAATGATTAAAGTTACATTTAAATATAATTTACACCATTTTTTTGCACATTAATTTCACACACATGCAGTTTTTATTTGTTAGTCTTGCTGAATTTACAAGTTTTTCTTTTTTTCCCCTTTGGTTTTGTTTTGCTACGTTGGAACATCAACAGGTAAAACAAAAAATATCTAAAGAATTGAAAATAAAAAATATTAAACTACTAGGTATGGATAATAGGAAAATGTCATAAGGGTTATGAATTCTATATTTATTCTTGACATAACATATTTTATAGATAATTCCATGTATGTCTTTTTTTGTTATCATTTTAAAAATACTTTGATATCATAAAAAGTTTTGTATAAATCTTAATTATTAGTTTCTGAGAAATTAATGGAAAAAATAAAAATTATTGTCCATTTCAGTTGTAAAAAATTTTCAGTTAACAGAGCGTATACCGCATTCAAAAGCATATAAAATACACTAATGCTAAATTTATCATTAGGTTTGTAATGATTGGTTACTTTTATACTGAAACTGTCATCTTACATTGGTAAGTGTACGGTATCTTTGCGGCATGGAGGCAATCTAAATACTGTCATGCTAAGCATCTCCTTGATAGGTTGGTATTAGGAGAAGAGAGATGGCAGATCCTGAGATCCATGCTCTGGGAGTTTTTCATCAAAACTGGTGCAGAATTTCCCTTTCTCCCATCTGTAGTAACCTATGATGTACTGTGGCAACGTTCTTGTGATGAGATAGCTAAATGACTGACAGATTTGGCCATTCTGAACAAATGCTTAATCAGCATTAGAGGATAAAAAGAGGATACTTGCATTATATAACCCCAATGAAAAAGATCATTTGTTTATTGCCTATGAAGTGAATTTTAAATTTGTCTAAATATTTTTTTACTAGTATTCCCTCAAAACTTTCTTACAGCTGTGTAGCTCAGAAACAGCTGTGTATAGGGCTGATTCTAGACCATCAGTTGCACCACGCAAATTAAAATTGGGAGCCCCTTTTTTTTTTTACAAACCTTATGTTTTAAATTTTTAATTAATAACTATTTTTCTCCGAAGAGTTTTTGGATGTTATTTATGTGTTCAAATAAAACAGTATAGAATTTGGCTATCATTTCCACTGCTTTTAAAAAGTTTCCTTTTTTGGGGAGGGGATATAGCTTTGAATTATTGCCTTCTCCATCATTTCTTTCCCAACAAAAGAAGTTTTGTTGCTCTCTATCTATTGTGCTATTTTTGCTTAACAGATCCCATGTTTTTAGCTCCCAATAAGTTTTAACACATTCCATATATTTTGCACTATTCTCATGTCTAGCAAAATACTGAGAGCAATGACATCAGTCCCTATACCCAAGAATAATACGCTGAATATTATCTCCTGCGGACCTTCCAAATAATTTATATGAAAGTAAAAGGCAGCATCTGATGAAACAGAATATAAAAGCGAAGTTTGTTAAATTGTTTTACCATTTTTCAATAATTTTGTAAAATTATGAATAACTAAATCGTCTACCAGTTTCACTAGTAGGAAATTAAAAATTTTCACTCAGAGACACAAGTTCCATCTCCATTAAAATTTCAATGATTCCAAGAAGTAGATGGCAAAGTGGCAGCATCACTGACAGTAAATCAAAGTTGGGTTTTCTGTGATGTTCCAGGACAAGCCTCTGCAAGATCAGATTCTAGAACCCATGGTCTCATCCGAAGAAAAAATTACGTTATTGGGCAGTGAATCCGAACTGTCTTCTGCTGCTTCTAATTCTGCACTGCTGTCATGGTGACCATCTTCATATCCAATAAAATTAGTAAAGCTTATTCTAAAACTATGAGAGTAGAATATTCTTTTATATATATATATATATATATAAATTGTTCATGAGAACTGTGAAGTTTTTATTTTCTTTCAGCTTCCTTCTTCTCTCTTTTCTATAAAATGTGCCACAGTGCCTATTAGTTTTTCTAAGCCTATAAGATAAGTAATATTTTAATTTTCTTTTGTATCAATCCCTGCCCACTGTCATTACGTGTGATGAGGTCACATCAGAATGAAGTTTTTGAATTGTCACAACTTTATGAAATCAGCTAAGAGAATTCATCAGTTTCTACTGGTGACAATGTTATTTGGCAATGGATTTGTTGCAACAGAAGTAAGTGATTTCATCAGACAAGACCTCATTTCAGTTCAATTGGTCTGATAAGCATGAAAATGCACAAATCTTTTCTCAATGGATTTTTCTCATTGGCTGAGAAGCGTAACAGTTGTTTCAATGGTACTAGCTTATTTAAAAGTGGGATTTTGCGAACTTCGTACTTTTTTGGGGGGTACTCAGTTGGCTCTTATTATAAAGGTTCTTGAGAAATTCCGGAATGTATTATAAATCTCTCGATTACCCCTACTGCAATTGGTACTTTTGGCTTTCTTTTAAAATAAAGAAAATTAACAAGGATAGAAACCGAATATTCTCAATTTACATGCTCCCGATAGCAGAGTTATTATTTTGCCGAAAGAACATGACAAAAATTTAGGTTTGTCTTATTATTTGTTTTACAAATATTTAAATGCATAATATATTATGAGTTCTTCAAAAACAAACTACAGTACAAAGTCTGTAATCCAGACTCGTCAGGACTTCGGCGACTCCGGATTAGGGTTTTTTTCTGGATTATAGATCATCAATTTAAATCTAAGATGTCATGCAGAAATTATACAATTAAAAATATGAAACCGTAATTTATGAAATAAAGAGCAATTATGATCTAAAGGGTATCAAAATTTACAAAAAAAAAAAAAAGCTTAATATTTATTTGTTTACTTATTAAAATTTCTTTCAATGTAAAGTTTTTTTAAGTTGCTTCATTTTTTTGTGCTAATACTTTCTCTTTAATTCTCTCTTCTATAAACAGACATAATTTCTTGTTCAGTTACAAAGTTCCACTGTTCAAATCCTGTAACTGCTGTGTTGAGAATAAAAACTAACTTGTCAATCGAAATTTTTTCATTTTCAATAACCTCTTTATCACTTTCTTCACTATCGGAAGCACGCATGTGTAAACGTTTTACTGGCTTTACGCTCATGTGTAGCGGATGCGCGCATTAAACGTGCATGGGTAAGCATGGCTCCGAGGTCCGGATTATAGACCATTCGGATAATGGACTTTGTACTGTACTGGATATTCTTATTTGGATAAATTTGCAGATTACATATAATTTTTCATTATTATTAGTTTGGTAATTCAAAAAGGTTGACTGTTTCTAAAAAAGGTAAATTTTAAAATATTTATACCCGATTTGCTAACTATGTTAATCAAAGTATAAGGTATTTTCTCCCTCTTTTCTGCATGCCTTCGTGGTGTAACGATAGCATACTCGGAGCATATTCGAGAACTCCAGGTTTGAGTCTGGGTGAAGGCACTGTTCATTTTTCAAGTCTCCTGCTTCAAAATAACCTAATGCCTCTACAAAAGAAATAAGTATATTCACCTGTAAAATCCTCTTGAGATACAAGCTGTCCAATATAAGTAGCTGCAGGAATAAAACTCTTTATTTCATGTCCATCTTTGGTTTTTAAGATAACACCCTGAGGGAAAAAAATCATTATAAGTAATATTTTATATTCAACATGAATTTTATATTTTTTAGTCCAAGAGAAGGGCCTATGTCAGATGCCCTACAAATTGACTTTATATAAAGTATACATTAATACAAACTCTCAGAGGAAAGCAAAGTGGCTAATTTTACATATTTTCAACAGCTAGATAAAGTTACTTACTTTTAGGTACAAGCAATGTGGTTATAGTAAGTTAAAAATTAGAGCACTAGAAATATAAAGAAGTCATTAAATATGATTACGTATCACCCACAGTACAATAATATGCTCTAGCAAATTAAAATATTTTAAATAACAGATAAATAAGCTGAATAATTTACTTAAAAATACAATAAACATTTTGAAAAAATGAATAAATCTCAATTTTTTTTATATAGTAATATAACTATATCTTTAACATCTACTTTACTAGTACATTCCTCTCCTTTGCGTGATTTTCCTTCTAGGTTTTTCAGCATATGATTTAGAAACTTCTGATTTATAGTAAACTGTAAAATGTGTGTCCAGATAGTAAAATATTTTGTTTAAGTAAAAAGAATATTATTTAAATAAAAAAAGTCCTTTGAAATACATAGTACAGTCAAAAGTCTTTAATCCGGACTCATCGGGACTTCGGCGATTCCGGATTATATATCATCAGTTTAAATCTGGTAAGATGGCATGCAGAAATTATAAAATTAAAAATATGAAACCGTAATTTATGAAATAAAGAGCAATTATGATCTAAAGGGTATCAAAATTTACAAAAAAAATTAATAGTTATTTATTTATATTATTAAACATTTCTTTCAACACACACATGCGTAAAGCATACATTACGCATAGCCGAAGTTAGAAAATTGCAACTAGAAAACTATTTGATTTGATTTGTATTGTCTAATATAGATATACAGGTGGAGGAATTTTTTGGAATTCCTCCCTGGGAGGATTGGAGAATCCATTCTCTGGATACTTTTCGACACTGGAGTAAATCACAAACTAACGAAATCATCTACAAGCAGATTTTTTTTTAACATAGAAACAAATATAGGATATAGATCCCTCTATATACGACGGATCAAAATCCCAGGATCATGTTGGTGCCGGCTTCGTCACAGAGAAAAACAATAGTAGGGGTTCGATTCCATACAGTTTGCTCTGTGCTTACTTCTGAGCTTACTGCAATCCATCTGGCTTTGACTTACCTTTCAAAACAAAAGTACATAAAGTTTATTATCTACACAGATTCCATGAGTGCTTTAATGTCATTGGAAAATCACGTTCAATGTACTCACCCAGTTACAACCAGAATCCTGAAGTTGAATCATTCTTTAAAAATTCGGGGATACCAGATTCTTTATTCGTGGATCCCTGGACATGTTGCCATTAAGGGGAATGAATTGGCGGATATTGCAGCTAAAACTGCAACCACAATGTACAATCTTCAGATTCCACTAGCAGACATCAAAGGGTTTGTCAAAAGCAAAATCCTCAGCAAATGGCAGAAGCAATGGGATGACAAAGTATATAACAAGCTGAGAAATGTAAAACCCACCATTGGATACTGGCCATGTATGGCTAATAGAAGGAAGGATGTCCTCTTGACTCGACTGAGAATTGGCCATTGTCGCCTGACCCGCGAATATCTTCTGAAGGGAGAAGAGAATCCCAGCTGCCCAAACTGCAATGCAGATCTGACAGTCCATCACATCTTGGTGAAATGCCAGAGTTTTAATTATTTTGCCAAAAACTTTTTAATTGTTCAGAAACTGGACTTCGGAAATTTAATTGGAAAAAAAACATCATCGTAATTTGTTTCTGTTTTTAAAAGATATTGGCTTTTATAATAGACTTTAACCTGTTTTTTAAAAGATATCAGCTTTTATCATAGATTGTAATCTGTCTCTTTATACCTAAGCTGGAAGTTTTTACAAATGACTAATTGCATTGTTACCATTTGTCTGGCGCAGATAACCTTGACAGGTTTTGTGCCAAATTACAATAATCCAATACAATCCAATTTGATTTGTATTTGTGATATTTATAATGACGAGGAATTTGATTTAAATCATATGAAAGACTGAGTACATCAAGATGAAATACTACATTTAGTAAGGAATTATAAGCCAAATAAAATAAAAACCATCTGCTCTGAAGATAAGGATCGTGCTGACAGATCAACTTCCAGTTCAATGCGCGCCGTGACATTCCCCCCTCCCAAACCGCGCAGAGCAGCGCGAAATTGATAAACAGATTTCGGAATGGTTAGAGAAACAAAGGAGCCTTTATCCATTTTTTGCAGCAATTTCACTTTTTGTTTGATGGACATCGAAACATGCTTTCCCTTTGTAGATTCCTTTGGCAGCTCCAGATCGAAAATTCTATTTGACATAATCAAAAGTTCCACTTTACCTTTATAAAATTGCTCTAACAGTCTGCAAAAATTAATAAGCCGGATCCAATTCGAAGATTAAGGAACAACGCAATCTGCAACATTAACTGAAACAGATAATTAGATAATTTTAGCTTAGCTTATACCGCCCGTTATACATTAAATACGCATGCCTAAATGTATTATGCGCATGCGCATATGTGTGTGCGCATGCGTCAATGCATAATGCATTGACGCATGCACAGAAAGTTTGTAGTTTTGAGGTCTGTATTATGGGTGTCCAGATTAATAACTTTTGACTGTATAATAATAATAGAAAGCCTTGTGCACTTTTTGATGTGCTAGTATTTATAATTTAAGCTGTCTCTTGAAGAAATATTGTAGTATGTATTTTTACTTCCTTGTACGAAGTAAAAAGGAAGTATTGTAATCGCGAAAAGTTTCAGTCAGCATATTTCAACGAAAATATCCATTTTGACCGTTATCGAATGCAATTTAACGATGTTTTTGCGTGATATCTGCATATAAGGACAGAGGAAAAACTCTTTTCCTGCAAAAAAATTATAAAATTGCTTTAAAATTAATTCTGAAGAGAATTTTTCGTGGCGTCTGTACAAAACTATGTACGAAAGTATCTCGCATAACTCAAAAATGAGTAGCCTCAGAACGTTGAAATTTTGTATATAGGACTGCTATAACATGTAGATGTGTACCTCTTATTTTGGTTGCAGTCGGCCGTACCAAATGTATATAAATATATTTATATATATATATATCCACTCTGTTACCCGGCTCAGTGATCTCATTTTCTTTACCCTTATATGCTTGTAAATTGTACATTTTTTGCTTTAAAAATGATTGAATTATGTTGTTCTTATCTTCCAGTTAAGGTTTTTATGTCTTTAGTAAAGTTTATATGCCTTCAGTATTCTGTATGCAATATTTTTAGAATTATCAACAATTTTAAAGTTGTTTAACACTCCATCGGGCATGTTGATCTGACAGATACAGGCATGCCAAAATCTGTTTTTGTCCCCTTAAACTTCTTCTCACGACCTTGACCTTATCACTATCTGTAAATCTGGCCACCTCCTCCTTTGGAATGCAGTAACAACCAGTTCAGTGTAGGAGTACTTCCTGTTTTTAAGCTTATTTGAAAATTTGTATCTGTCAGATACACGCGCCAGATAATGTTTTTCTCCTTAAGCTTTATGGACGTATCGAGATTTCTTGCAGATTTTTTATTTATTTTTCCCATGATGAGTGTTAAACGCTTTTTAGATTTGAATAATCAAAAAGACCTTGAACTAGTCCATAATATTCTGCTTAGTGATGGAAATGAGGAATTAAATGCTGAAGAATTTGATGAAAGTGATGATGAAGAAGTGGATATTTTAGAAACATTTGAAGTGGATTCTGAAAGTATTGAAAGTGATTATAATGACTCAGAATTTGAGGATGATGCTAACAATGGTGATTTTTATGTAGGAAAAGACAAAAGTACTAAATGGGCGAAATCGGGCAGAAGAAAAAATGTCAAAGTTAGATCGCAGAATATTACCACAAAAAAAACCTGGAGTAATCGGAAATGCGAAAGGTATAAAACTATATACGACTCTTGGAACTTTTTTTTTTTTTTTTTTTTTTTCCCCTGATGAAATATTGGAAATAATTGTGAAATACACTAACAAATACATTTCTACAATTTCTGATCTATTTAGTAGAAAAAGAGATGCAAGACTAACAGATATCATTGAAATAAAAGCATTTATAAGTTTACTTTTAGCTGGCGTTTTGCCAAATAATCGATGCAAAACGAAGAATTTTTTTGGAGGGAAAGAAAAATTTGTCTTTTGGAAGAACTGTGGTCTACTGATGGAATGGGTATTGAGATGTTTAGAACAGTAATGAGTCTGAAGCGATTTAAATTTCTTCTAAGATACTGTAGATTTGATGATAAAGAGACGAGGAACGAGAGAAGGAGAACAGATAAATTAGCACCTATTAGAGAAATTTTTGAGAAATTTGTGGGAAAATGTAAGAGTAACTATTGCATGGGACAAAATGTTACGATAGATGAAAAATTAGAAAGTTTTAGAGGAAGATGCCCTTTTCGCCAGTATATTCCATCAAAACCAAATAAATATGGCATTAAAATTTTTCCAGCAGTTGATGCTAAAATGCTTTATACATTGAATTTAGAAATATATGCCGGAAAATAGCCTGAAGGTCAATTTAGTATCAATAATTCCCCATTAGATGTTGTTCTGCGATTATCTGAACCAATTTTCAACAGCGGTCGCAATATCACAGCAGATAATTGGTTTACCTCTATTGATGTTGTAAAAGCCCTAAATGATAAAAAACTTTCTTACGTTGGAACAATAAGAAAGAATAAAAAAGAAATACCTCCCTGTTTTGCGAAATCTAAAGGAAAGGAAGTACATTCAAGCTTATTTGGTTTTTCTAAAAACTGCACTTTAGTTTCATATGTACCGAAAAAAGGCAAATATGTTTTGCTTGTATCAAGTATGCACTTAGATGATGCTATAGATGCAGACACTGGAGATGAAAAAAAGCTAGATATAATCACATTTTA